TAGCTGCCCTGTCTCCTGTCACATCCCATGGGTGAAGAGAGTGACTTACCTGATTGGTGAATTTGAGAAAGGGGAGCTGAGCATGCTGGGCCAGCACCTTTGGGATCCTCCTTCAGCTCTGCCTAGTGGCAGAGAGGGTGCATCTAAGTTCTCCTCCATTATGCACTAATAATGAGTGCAAACACATACATAGCATTGAACTGCGTGCAGCCACTATTTTAATCACTATATAAATCTATTATTTCCATAAAATTTTGAGGTAGATAAAATTATCATTCCCATTTTATAGATAAGGAAACTGAGGCTCAAAGAGGATGAGTGAGTTTCCCAAGGTTACATGGCTGGTAACTGTTCCTATACGTTCCTCTGGAGGCCTGAAGATCCCAACTAATCCAGTGAATGAAATCTGTCCAATCTCAGCAGTTCATTCTGCTGAAGACCTAAAGCCATGTTCATGAATCAGTTTTATCAAGAATTAAGGTAATTTTTGTCTCTACCCAGCTGTGTCCTGGGCCTTATTTCTAAATTGCTGTGTACTTAGGAGGAGAAGAAAGGGATGTTATTTATTGGCCACCCAAAAGTCCAACCTGTAGAGGCCTCAGTTTGGGAAGAGCAGCATACATAGAAAATGAGTTTTCAGTGCTGAGTAGCAACACCTAAGCTCTCCGAAACAAATGACCTGCACAAATGCCCCACTCCTCAAAGAGTATCTTCCAAACCAGCGCTATTCTATGGAAATCTCTCCAGTGATGAAAATGTTCTATAGCTGTGCTGTCCGATATAGTAGCTACTAGCCACATTTAGCTCCTGAGCATTTGAAATGTGGTCAAGGCAACTGAGGAACTGAATTTTTATTTTAATGTTAATTAATTTAAATGTAAATGTTCCTTCAAAAGAGGGCTGAAGTTTCCAGCTAATACAGTGACTGGATGGGTGAGCTTGTCTACAACCATAATTCCATTTTGCTGCCGTTGCTATCACATTGGACAGTGCCATTTCAAACCTTCATCATCCTTCCTTTTCATAATTCTTTCACTCCTATCAAATATACATTAGATTTTGAACTCCCTTACCTTTCTGCCTCCAGATTTATAAACTTCATCCGTACCCATTTTTGCTACTATCTCTTTGATCTCAAAAACTAAAAGGTCCCTCATAATCTAGAACTAACTCAGGTGTGCTATGAATTTCATCTCTGTCTGCCTTCTCAGGGACCCTTCTTACCTATTTTATCTCATTCATTTTCAGTTAAAAAACAACATTTCTCTTCCTCTTCTCTTTTTTCCCCTTTAAACATGTTTTCTTTTTAATCCCTTTCCTTATCTCTTTTTTTTTCCTTCATAGGAAACTTCTTGAAAAAGTAGTCTGCACTTGGTTTTCTCCACTTCCTCATCTTCCATTCCTTAACTCATTGCAGTACACTTATGATAAAACCACTACACTAAAACTTTTAAAACCATAATCAACTTCAGCTAAATTGCCAAATTAAATCAATATTTATATATATATTTTTTAAGATTTTATTGGGGAATTGAAGTGGAACAGACAAGTTGCTGCCCTTTTGTTCTTCAGTCTAGTTGTGGAGGA